CGAATTGAGGATAGGCAAAAGCAGTTTGTATGAGCGAATTGGTGAGATTTTAGGCATAGAATACATTAGCAAGGTGGGTTATTAGGCACAGGTACAGTGTCACTGAGGGGCACGTCCCCCGGTGGTTATACTTAAACGTGCCTCCTCAGTTCCAAAGTTGGTCTTTTAAAAGCGCGTTGTGCTTTGCGCTCCCTCACACCTCCATTTTGTGGTAGACGCATCATCAAGTTGGAGAAGATTTCATCTGACAAGGAGAATCACCTTTGCAGAGTATCTGATCTCCCGCCCTCCATTTTGTTTATGGGTAACTGATGATTAGAAGCATTGAATTGACTGACATGGGCTGCAAGACCGGCCAAAGTAGGCAACAGCAGTAATTGGCAGTGTCATCTTTCCCACAGTAACATCTGCAACCTGTGAGGTAATTAGTCTGCCCGATCTCCTTTTTCGTCGGATAGTCAACTCTCACTTTCACATAGTCCCACATAATGCTTGCTTGGCTCCTCTGTCTACTATTTTGGGATCACGAGCTTACAGTGCAAGTCTATGTAAGCAAATCTTTCCTCCACTGCAGGCTACCACAATGCCGCAAATGTAGCGTCCCAAGACTCCATGAAGACAAAAGAAGACACAATACTGGGGCAGAATATATATTCAGCGCAGAGAAGGCATCTGGGCTGTTGGCATGGCCCAAAAGGCCAGCCCACCCAGTGAGGTACAAGGGGGCTAGTTGAAAGTACAAAAGTGGCGCCTCACCAATGCCGAGGGATAAACCACTATCGTATTACACAAATGCGTCAGTAGCTTCTCATCCGTATTGAAATGCATCTACTTATCGCTAGCTTCTAATAAATGCAAATGTCGTTTTTTTCAAAATAGCAAAGTATTATATTTCTGTCTGCTACTTCCAAAGATCATAATAAGTAAACTATTTTGGGAAAAGTAGAATGAGTGGATGGAGGTCTTTTACGCGAAAACCTCGGAAAAGAGTTATTTGGCACAAGACATATAATTTTAAAACTTAACTATCATCATTTAAATGCCTATTATTTATTTCGGGACTACATGATTAGATTAGAAACAGGAAAATTTGTATTCATTTAGTTAAATAAAAATCTGTATGAAAGCAGTGCAAGAAATGAATAGTGTAAAAGTGTGACGTATTTTAACGGTAATTTTTACAAGCACCTAATTTTTACCCCAATAGGAATTGAGCGCGAATACATTTATTACAAATCATGTAGCATCTCATCTAATATACTAAAATATAAAAAATAAAAATTAGGAGTAAAATAATAATTAAAAGCAAAATACAGTGCTAACAATATATTTATGACAGTTTTTAATAAGAATTAGGGCCTAGATGTTCATCCAGCGTTTTTCTTCACTTACGCCAACGATTTGGTTTTAAGGCCATTGAGATGGAGTGCTGAACTTAAGATGGTCGATGCCTTCTTTGCTTTCGCTGTGAAATAGCTAAGTGGGTACCCGTAAATCTAATGAAAAATGAAGAGATACCTAACTCTTGTTGTGATATTTACCGATGATGAAGTAATCCTCTTGATTTTACTATTGTAACTTTTGCGGTTCTCCAAAAAATATGAAGAAATATTTGTTTTTCCTCCTATTTTGCGTTATTCAAGCACGATGTGAAGATTGTAAGTTTTATGTTTGCCTAGAATAAATAATTTAGACCTGTTGATGCCCAATTCCTCACTTTACTGCGGTCGGTCCTCAGGCGACGGCTATTACAAAAACTCCAACTCAGATGACTTACTACTCCACAACCAGATTGTCCTCTACTGGAATGTGTCGGCTGCCACCCATTTTACAGAAGCCTCAAAAACTCATCGGCCATTTAATCGGGTTGTGTGTCCTGGTGTTTCCGTCAGGCCTGCGGGTCGCTACGTCAGGCATTATTTAATGGATGGAGCGGTAGGAGTGTGCATATTTGTACAGATCTTCACAAGCTACTTTACTGAATCGTATTCTCTTTTTTGATCAGTCAGTTTACCTTTTTCAGCTCTAGTGCTGTACTTCATTTGCAAACTTTTAGATATGTCAATTTTATAGATTAACGACTTCCAAAATTTTTATTGCGTTTGTTGAGTTTAACGTGGGAATAATTGTATTTAAATACTTAAAAACCAGTTGTTATAATTTCAACGAAGTGGAAACTAGTAGCAATGTTGTTAGATTTCACTGCTAATCAAGTCTCAGAGACCGAAACTATACTAATAACTACTATATACTATTCAGTTGATCCTTATCTGTTTCTTCTTAGGAGTAACGCAGAAACAAATTAACCGAAGGGCTGTTATAGATGTAGAAAAAGTGTATTTAACGGATCTATTTACAATGGGTAATGAAGCAGCTAGTCAAAGTGTGTCGTTTATATTTTTCGTTAGCTAAGTAGCTGGACAGCAAACTGTTTTTTACGGTGAGATTTTTTGTTTCCTGACGGCTCCCTTGCCATTGCGTTCTTCGAAACAGGTCACCTATCTTCCCGTCTGAAAAAAAAACATTTTTCTTGACGCAAACACACTGTTCCTAAAGAGGTGGAACGACCATGCTCCGTGTCGATTTGTTTAGCGAAAACAGGTTTGAAAGAATATTTGCTTGCTAACAGTCGTATTTCTCCCAGTTAAGAATCCATCAGTTTCTGTAGTAAGCAGTGCTGAGCCCGCGATTTGAAATGCCTCGTCGTAATTTGACGGGCGTTTTAGTCAGTGTAGCGCTCTTCCCCTTGTTTCCATTTAAAATATCACCTTTGTGATGAGTACGTTGCTCCGAATTCCCGCTGAAATAGCAATCAGGTCTTCTAATACTTCCTTTTATGCAATTTGAAAATGCAGTCGCTAAACAAGTAGACCCATACTTTTTCACCTTCTTAAAGGATTTTTTTGGTTTATTTGATTTGATAAAAGCCAACATGCTTACATCGGATCGGAGGGGCTGATGACCTTTTGAGCGTGCAAAAAGTGTTCCGTGCCACCGCATGAAACCCAACCGATACGTGTACAAGTCTTCTTCTGCTACTTTCACTTCTTTGCTTCAAAACTGTTAAATCACTAGTCCAAAAGGTCTTACAAATTCCCCTTTAGTTCCCCATTCCCTTAGGAAATTTTGGTGGTAGCTAAAAAATGCCATACATTTTGAAAGGTTTTTTTAATTTTTTTCGGGTTAAGCAAATATTTGGTGGTTGCAATTAATTTTCATCCCCTCTTTTCAGTAGAAGGTCCGCTTTTTTGCGCTAAAATGTCCATGAAATGTTTGCTATCTCCAAAGGTGCGCCAAGCCACAAAACACTGCACATCTTCCGAAAATAGATTCTCTGCCTCCAGTCCTCCCTTTTGGTGCCTCTTGAAGGTGCAAATCAAATGCCTTGCTTAATGATGTAGGTCTACTTCTGGTTGTTGCACGTGCGCGCCTCCATTGAATGTCCGTCCAGACGCCCTCCGAGGTCAGACGATTTCGAGCTGCGGTTGAGCCAGTGGATTGATCGTTCGGAGGCGGAGAGTTCTCGCAACGAAGCTGAGGAGGCCTACGAACGTGGCGACTCCTTTTACCTTCCTGGACATAAAGTGAGTTCACTAAATCACTGTATTCGTATTATAATTTGTTTGTTGACAGAGGCGCCATGAGCTCCATGTCTGGGTGCCCAGTCGCCACTAGCATGGCAACTGGCAACTGATTGTGCCAAACAGATTGGTTGGTTTCTTTAACGTTGGGATGGGTAGAAGAAATGTGAGGGGCTGTGGTGGCCAATCGTCCTTTAAAGGCGGAGCTGGGCATTGAATTAGCCTCTTCGTTGTAAAACAGAGGAGGTGAAAGCCTGGAAGGAGAATTGGCATGAAACCGGAACCGATCATTATACGGTAGAAAAAATGCCCATTTTTTATTGTTTAGAGTATTGTGTCCGCAGCTTGCAGCGGTAGTTTCACCCATTGTTGCAGACGCCACCGACAGTGGTGCAGTGACCTGTGAAAAAGAAACGAAGATGGTGGCATGCTGATAGTCCCCGAGCTCATGTTAGTGTGTGGCATGACAAATGGAGTTTGGTGGGAATCCCACTCCCTCATATTCCCTTTTTTAACCTAGTGGCTTTGGAGAAGGCTGTCCAAGTGATAAAGGGTCGTTGGAGGCTGAAGATATTCAACGGGGGGCGTAACTTGTGTGCGAATTGGTCCTTGCAGGGCTGCTTAGCCGCAAGTTGAATCGCAAGTCCTACTGCACTGCCGTGAAAAAAAGTAATTTAGGCTTGATTCCAATTTTTCGGTAAAATCCGAAGGTATTAATGGTGTCCAAGGGGTAGTGACTCCTTAACGTGCTTAAGGAATTGCGGCCCGTAAGTTGTTTCTTCCCTTGCAACTTTGTTGGTTGAGTCGAACAGTAGGTTGTGTTGATGATGACTGGACCTTTGAGCGGAGAAATGCACTGTTTCCTTTCAGGAGCCCGAAAATCTGACGCTATCATGCTCCTCCCCACACCGGAGTGTCACTCTACAAGGTCGTTTGCGCCTCCTTGTCGTCTCGTGGGCCATATTCCCCAGTCGGTTGTCCAGCCAATTGGATAAGGGCACCTTGACGCCGACGGATGAATTGCTGGGTGGATTTAAAGGCCTCCCTGCAGATCTCAAAATCCGCGTTCAGATCACCTCGCGCCTTCACTTTGATGGCCAATTCTCTCCCTTTCGAAGTGCGTCGCATGCCTTTTGTTTCAACCGCGCAAATTAATTTTCCCTGGGGACTTTTAGAAGGCGACATTTTTCTCATTCACATAATATGATCACTTTAGTTGGTGCTTACAGGATAGACAGAAGTCCGTCTTAAAAATTGCTCTGTGAGAAATTTTGACTATACTACTCACCACCACAATTGTTGTATGGTAAAGACGCCCTTTTCTCCAATGCTTCACGCCAGGACCTAAAGGGACGACGACTAGGGAGAGAAGCAAAGATGCTTATCGTTCACGCCACGCCATGTGTCCATTTTTGGTTGTCTAGTTTGAACATATAAAAAAGTTAATTGGAGATTTTAAATGCTGAGGGAAACTGGCTTTCTTCCTTTACATATTCACCCATGTCATTTAATAGCTGATTCGTGGATTAATTTGTGTCAAATTTGTTTTTTTTAAGTACTTTTCCAAAATATATTGGAATGGCAAATGTGTTGGACCTTGCTTTTAGCTAACTTTCTTCATAAAGTAAGCCAAAAGGTGAATCCCATGATATTTTACGCTTAACTGCTGCGATTCTTCCTCAGCCCTTCCTTGCATCGCGTGTGCTTTTTATTCTCAAAATGACACTTTTGTTTTGCCTTCGTGGTTTGTCAAAGATGCTTGTAAAAGGTGTTGTGGGATGTAGTGGATTATCAACTGAGCAAAGGATGGTTGAATAAACGGAAGCCCTTTACCGGGAGTCACACCAAATTTCCTTCTTGTGTATATATTTAATGAAGAAAAAAGAAGAAGAAAATGTGTATGTCTACTTATTGGGAAGACTGGGGGTCCACGGTTCCTTTGGGACTTGATTTCACCGACAAATCTCGAGCACTGTTGAGCATGGAACCTTGTCTGTACCTCATGCATCCATCAGGCGGCTTTAAGGTAGCATGAAAGCGCTATTTTGACGTTGAACCATCTGTCTGCGACATTGAAGATGTATAATTTTGTAGCATAGCATTTCGAAGTGCCTTAATGTCTGTGTCTGGTGTCGTTTGTCGTCTGTTTAGCGGGTAAAGCTTAATTACCGGAGCCCATACCCTAAGCAATTTGTTATGAGACCGATTATTATAATATTACCATCGTTTTTTCTGTGGAATCGCGTTTTTTATGAAATGTTATTCTTCGTTTAGTAATTTGCATTGGTTTTACTTTTTCTCAATCCAGCTGATTCCTTTTACAAGAAGGAGGAGAATGTGGAGTTAGGATGGACGCTGAAGTGTATTTCAGTAGCACCGTTTTATTATTTATCTTGCAAATTAGCAGTCGTGAACGCATTTCGAGCGTTACTGGTGCATTTTGATACTTACAATCATGAACATTTTTCGGTATATTTTTTTTAAAAACAAATGCTTGGCAAGTGTTCGACGAGTTGCTAATTTTTAACCTAAAATGACGAGGATTTCGGGTCTGTCAATGGGTGTTTCGCCAACTGTTCCTTTGGTTTATGACCATTTATAGTGAACTTAAGCAAAGTTTACTTAAGACGGATATTACAGTGCGTTTTGTATAGCTCCCATGAAACAGACAACGAGCTGGGGTAGCTGTGGCATGAGTGCCTGAATTTGAGGAAGTTCACCTCTTTCAACTCATCTCCATTTAAATGAGTAGGAAAGGCTGGAAGTTTACGGAAAGACTCTCACAGTTTTAAATACCAATTTTTGCTATTCTTAACAATACCTGCAAGACGATGTGGGGTGGCTTTGTGCAAGTGTTTGACACACTTCTGTTTGGCAGTAGCCGCTTCCAATCTTGCCGCTGTATATCCACGCGAAGTTTGTAATGGATGGTTGGATGGAAGGATGGATGGATGCGTACGTTCCCCGTCACCCATCTCAACTCGGGTCCTTTACCGCCTGTATTAATATTTTTGCTTGGTAGAAGCATTTTCCTTCCCCTTGAACCACCGGTGGAAGTTGTTTTTCACCGCCACACTCTCGCTCCGCCCCACATGCGCAGTCCACTCAGTGATGCAGGAGTCGGCTTTACTGCCTCATTGTACAAACGAACGCATGGTTTAAAATTGGCCGAATTCCCGGCAAAACAGACTAACTACCCTCCTCTCTTATCATTTACCCCTTCGGTGGCTCCCTTTTTGTGATTATGCTGCCTGTTTTGTGCGTCAGGATGCGTTGTTCAGAACTGCCAAGGTAAAATACCACAACAGCCTATTCGTCGCATGTGCTGCCAGGTTTGCCAAAAGTAAACTCCTCCTTTATCCCCTTCAAAAAGCCTTTTAAAGAGGTTTTGCAAAAGATTTATTTCCTTTGGGAGCTGCAAAAACAGGTCCCTGGGGCGATGCGACGGGTGTTTTTTTTTTCAACTGTCTACTTCATAATGGTAAGTAAATGGAACATTCCCCACTGTTGAAATAGTTTCCAAATTATTTTAAATTTTTTAACCTGTAAATTGGCTGATTGACGATGCAGTGAACTGGTGAAATGATTGCAGCAGGCAGGCAGAGCACATGAGCGTCCTCTTGGAGGGTCGTTGTGTGGTTAACGCGTCCCGAATGCCTTTGAGGAGGAGGAGGAACTGGTGAGGTGTTGATTGAAGCAATGTTGACCCAATCCCACGTTGTCAAGTTGGTGGAGACTGAATCTGCGGAGAGGAGGAATGAATAAGCCGGGTAGGCAGATGGAAGGCTCAACTGGGTTCTGCGCATTTGTCGCCACAAACTCCACAGCATTCCATCTACAGTGTGCTTTTTTTCAGAAGAGTTGGAATGGTAGAATAACAACAGCATATTGCGGTCTTCTATGCAATGACCGCCTTGTGGGTGAGTGTAAAAGGTGGAATGACACTTGACCCCCTCCGATGTGGCGACATTACCCTCACAGCCGCTGTCGTGATGTTGCATTCGTGAAACTGGCGGTACCCAACGTGCGTTGTAATTGACTGGTCGGGATGCCTTCCTCCTCCCTTTTTCCAAGTAAAACCATCCATTCAGAACAAATTACGTGTGGTCTTTTAAATGTTAATGAAGGCAATTGTGGCGATGCAGTTTTTATCATCCGTCAGCCTGTGTTCACTCTCCGATTTGGTAGATTCGTTTGCCCCTTGCAGGACGCCAGCTATGCGAGTTTTACGGCTTTTGGTGCAATGGAAGCCTCACCGAAGACGCGCCTCAGCGTCGTAGACGAAAGCGTCGCAGCGACAGTGGTGACGAGGTGACAGGAACGTGCATTCGACCCTCCATGCGTTGTGACGGCCTTCCCGACTGTTGGCTCGATGATCCTCACAATTCGCCCGATGAGGTTGGCTGCAGTGCCATCCACTCACCAGACAGTGCGGAGGCTCTCGCACCCTTTGAAACCTTCAATGAGACCTTCCCCATCGCCTCTTGTAAGTGACATTCAAGAAGGGCGGAGGAAGGGGT